AATTCCCTGGCTATACGCAATTAAAACTCAATAAATTAATAAAATAAATGAAAATTAATACAATATGAGATGTTACTTTTGGGCCTTCTATGAGCTAATATTTAAGAAACTGGGCAACATCAATATTTTAATAATAGGGTAAAGAAACTGGCTTTCTCCTCCTCTGATGGTGGCTCAAAGTAAGACTAAGAGCTAATCTACTGGGAATGAAGCAATACACACCAGTGTTCAGATGTATATCCCCTCACCCAGAAGCCCAACTTTAAAGAACTCAGCCTGAGACTGGAGGTTTACATACAACCGTAACCATTATACTTCACTGCCAAAAGCAATGAACTGAATCCAACTCGAATGTCCATAATAAGATGATTAAATGTGTAGGAGTAGAAAGAAATATTTCCACATAGTATGGAGGAGATAAAGAAAGTGATTATATCTATAAAATACCAGATACTACAGAAAGCCATTTTGGTGAATATGTTTGTATCTGAAAAGAGCAAAGGATTTTATAGAAAAAAAAAATTTAGGAAGAATCTTTGATGGTGTTCTCTTTATTCCTTGTGTGATCTTATTTTTTTTGTTTATTTTACAAAGAACTGTCATCACTCTTAGAAGCAGACAGAATAACATGGCTAATACAAACTAAAAGTGTAGGCCCCTTACTCCTCACTAGGTATCTGGTCAAGGTGATCAATGGAGTCTGAAAATAGAATCGGAACTCACACAGACAAAGGACACATGTCCAAAAGTTCTCTGACTCGATAAATTTTATGTTTCTTTTTCAAAGCTGTATAGACTACCTTTTTCTTTTTAAATATGTTGCCAAAAAAGCAAAAATTCTCTAAGTGTGTGAGTGCATGCACACACACATATCCAGTGGGGAGCCTCAGTTTCTCCAACTGGGAAATGAGACTATTAACCGATACTCAAAAATCTTATTGGGAGGGTGGAGTACATCAAGGCAGCGCCCAAATGAGTTATGGTTAGTCAGCCTCTGTCCTTTCCTGAAGGAGAGGCTAAATTCTTGCCCCATATATAGTGTGTTTAATCTTCAGCTATACCCATTTCTACCAGCTATGCAAGGTGTTGTGCAGTTTTGGCGGTGGTGTGGGAAGCACGTTATAAATTAATATTTATTTACTACAGATAGGGCAGCAATGACAGACCAAAGACTTTTGCTCAAATCTGGCTTGGTGAACCAATGAGATTATTGGGTTTACTACAGGGTTTACTCAAAGGCAGCAGTATCCCTAAGCCACAGTACCTCCCAAATATGGGTGCATCCTTGGAGCTCTCTGCCCAACTTGCTGGCAGCTCTGGTAAACATTTCCTCCTCCAGTACCACCACCCACCCCACCAGTTGTAACTGCTCATCTAATCCTGGGGAGGAATCTTCTAAGGTCTAAACTTCCAGAGCTGTGATGGTTTGAATGAGAATGGTCCCCCTACCCCAGGCTCAATACTTACTCATTAGTTGGTAAACTGGGAAAGATTAGAAACTATGGCCCTGTTGTAGAAGGTGTGACATTGTTGGAGGAAGTGTGTCACTGGGGATGGGCTTTGAAGCTTTAAAAGCCCACACTAGGCCCAGTCCCTCTCTCTCCCTCCCTCCCTCTCCCCTTCTCTCTCTCTCCCGCCCCTCTCTTTCTCCCTCTCTTCTCTTCCTATGGATCAGAATGCAGAGCTCTCAGTTACTCCTCCAGCATCACGCCGGCCTTCACACTGCTATATTCCTCACCATGATGCTAATGAATTGACCCTCTGAAACTGTAAGCCATCCACCCCCCAGTCAAGTGCATTCTTTTGTAAGAGTTGTCTTGGTCATGGTTTCTCTTCACAATAGAACAGTTCTTGAACTTCTTGGGTCTTATGAGCCTTCCTCCTCCCTCTAAGAAGGAATATTTCAATTCAGAAGAAATAGCTACATAGCATTGTCCACCTTCTCCATGGCACCTCTTACAGCATCCAAGCAGGGACCAACCTCGTGAATGGTATCACCTTAGCCAACATTATAAAGTGGCTTCCAAGAGACTTGAGCTTGGTTCTAGTCAAAAGGTCAAAGGTGAGACTCGGGTTTCTGCCTATTTCGAAAAAAACAATATTCACACAGTAAGAGTAATCAAATTGCCAGGCAGGACTGGGACCATTTTTCTCTCTCTAACACAGCAGGAACCAGAGCCACCCTTCCAGCATGGTCTAGCTCACTAGGAAATCCCAGGATCATGGTATTAGCAAGAGCATGTGACTCCACCGCTCCAGTGCTGACCAAGGCAGGAGGACTCAGTGCATGGGTCTTTTGGGCCCAGGCTGTAGAGGTTCTTAGTCCTACCTCCATGTTGGCATCTCCCGGAAGCTTTTAAGTAGGATATGTGTGTCGACTCTGACTTCACTGGCCCAGAGTAAGACCTGAACACAGACTTTAAATCTCTTAAGTACACCAGAGTTCAGAGCCTCTGAAATGGGCTCAACTCTGATCCTGACTGGCACTTCTGATTAGCACATCTTCTGGAGCCCCAAGAGAAAGAGGGTTTTCCTCTGGCTATTCCAGGAGCCACACAGCAAAGGAGGTCCTAAGCCAGGCCAAGCTCTGGAAGGCAGGGACTACAGTGAGCAGCACAGCACTGAGGCTGCATGAAAAGGAAGTTATTGCTATTTATGTATTTATTTTCAGGCCACTGCTATGAATTGAATTTTTCTGATTCGTGTGCCTGAGGCAGCATCTCTGGTCCTGTCATCTATTAGTGAGTCTCCAAGCTCCTGTGGTAAATTATTTGTGGAAGTGCATTGCCCATCCACAAACCTGCAGCCCAGGTCTGCCTGCCACACAAACCTCAATGCAGGCCAAACCTTGACTCTAACTCACCTGGAGATGCCCTCTCTCTCTATCCTGCTCCTTTGTGGGATGAACTCCAATCTCAATGCAACCCTAAACCCTACTCTACATATGCCCCAACCTGGTTCAAATCCCACCTCTGCCACTTTCTGTTAAAGTAATCAGAGGAGAGTGAACCCAAGCCCAACCTTTGCTGAAGGCTTGAGAGATCTAATGACTTAACTGAGCAAAGTGCTTAGCACAGTAATCAGGATTTATATGAAGAAAAAAAAAAAACAATCCTGGACATTCTGCTTCCATAGAGAAGGCAGAGAAAATTAAACGTGTGTCTTCACTCAGGACACCGAGGAGAGAGGATCAATTCAAGCCAGCCTGGGCTATGTCACAAGATCCTGCCTGAAAAGACGAGAGGGTCTTAGTGGGAAGGGGGAGAAGAGAGAGTGAAGAGAAAGAAGAAAGTTAGAAAACAAGAAAAAAGGATCACATTTCGTTTTGTTTTTTGGTGTTTTTTTTTTTTTTCAAGATCTCTCTTGGGCAAGCCAAGGCTGCATGAAGGGGCTTAGCCCTCTGCCCTTTTTCTTTTCTTTACCTGCGGAAGAAAAAGAAACATCACAGGGGAACACGAGCCTGGACCACTATGACCTGAACTGACAGGGACAGCTCCATCCCACACCATGGTGTGTGAGTGTGTGTGTGTGTGTGTGAGTGTGAGTG